ATTCCTAAACAGGATACCACCATACATTGCTTACGCTCTAAAAGTAAAGCTTTTCTAAATTTTTTGAATTTTATAAAAAAAAAATGCAGTTATTTCAATATCCACTGATAATTTCTTATTACTCGAAAAGCATACGGATTTAGAATAATAGTATGTAATATTGCTGTCACGCTCAGAATCATTGATTCATTTCTCTAAGCTTGAAAACCAGTTCCTTCCTATGCGATTTACCCATTTTATTGGATTTGTTGGTGATGATGCATTCTAAGAGCCAGAACATCCAATCGGCTTGTTTAAACAGCGCTCAGAAGAGATAGCCATTGACAACGTTGCCAGCGAGTGATTGGCGCCGTTTTCTTCTTCAGATCACTTGTATGCTAATTATGGAATAGATTTCAGCTTTTCAGTTTTGTATTTCTTTATATTCCCTGATTTTCTAATTGCAATTTTTTTAAAATTCCAGAAAGGGACGTGCGAATTATTTTCAGACTACATGTGTTTATCTAACTTACAGATAAGAATAACTGAATGGCAAATGGAAGGTGAGGTACTGCAAATTGTTGCGGAAGTTGAGTGCGGAAAAGATCGTGTGGCTCGGGTTGTAGTCGGCCAACACGGCCTGACGGTTGTAGCGGTAGCAAAATCGGTGAACGAAGCGATGCAAGATTTATTAGCACAACAACTCTTCATACGGATACTTGTGAAAGTCAATGGTAAAATGTATCAGATCGCCAATGATCCACGTCTGGCCAGCAGCCGTAGTGGAGTAGCTCGGTAACGATTGTTTTCGGAGCATTGAGCGTATCAACAAATAAGAGATTGCCAAAAACACTTTGTATTGAATTCATTTTTGCCTGTGTGTTCACCTGGATAATGAAAAGATAGGAAATTGGAACTCGAAAAGCATTAATTACCGACTGTACATGCGATCACAGCTGTGGAATCAATTTTCTGGTCCCGCTGCATCCTTTCGTTTTAATGTTAGATCGAAATTTGCGCAAAATACATTAGCGCAGGGCAAACAAAATTATGAACTTGAGGGATTGTTTTTTTTTTCTTGTGAATTTATAATCGTAATTTTGTACATTTCTAATTCTTGATTTTTCCAAGTCGCCATTTTGGCTAGAATTTGAGTTAGTATGGTAAATTTTGTGCCGTTTGAACTCATTTTTACAGGATTTATTTCCCTTTCGGCGTTCGTGTAGGGCAAAAAAGTCTCCTACCATGACAGTAGCCGCAATACTGTTCATTTCTATTTTTGCTTTGTAGATGGCGAGTAAAAGTATTTACCACCCTTATCAGTAAACTGAAGGGACCTTGGTTTTCGGCAGAAACAAAGAGCAGTAGTTTATAGATGAACAGTATTAACAGTTAGGCGGAAATCTGCATATAACAGGAGTATGATTATGTATATAGCATGGAATTATAAAACCTTCATATTCATTTTTATGCGTTTTTGCTGTGCAGCGCTATAGCAGCGCTATAGCGCTGCTACAGCCAGCA